AGATTTTTCGTGATAAGAATAGGCAATGATTGCCATACTTACAAAATCTTACGATTTCATAGTAAATCCTATGAAATCACATAAGATCTTGCTGGGATTTTTACTAGGGTGGAGGGCAAGTGCCAAACGAGTGAGTCTGTCCACGTGTGCCGGAATTTTTGTAGTTTCTAAAAAATCAAATTAAATTAAATTAAGCATTAAAACATATTAAGCTCACAAATCGAAATTATATACATGTACATTTCATCATACGTATGTTGAAAATGTAATTAGCTCCGCCTCTTTTCTAGTCCTCAGGACGTGATGCTCCCGACAACCACTAAGATGTTGGAACTTGAAATAATAAAACTCAAAGTAAGCCACGCCCAGTGACGATACCTGTTACTAGACTCCTCCCTCTAGGAAACTGTAGGCGCTTATAAAGAACAGAATGCGTTTCTGTCTCAGGAAATAGTCGAATTAAATAACTTGAGAACTAACGACTCCAACGACAAGAAACGACTTGAAGGGTGTGGCTTAAAAGGGGGAGGGGAAGCATACATTATTATTATTATTATTATTATTATTATTATTATTATTATTATTATTATCATTATTATTAATGTATTATTTTTTTAGTAAGATACAAGAGCTTGAAGCAGAGTTAGTCAAAGTCCAGTCCAAGTACGTCATATTACTGAAGGAAGCTCAGACTCCTAAACACAGTAAGACTGTTGAAAAAGAGTGTATACCAACATGTACATGTACAGTATTTAAATGTTGGCATATGTTGTTGTATTTATATGATAAAAGTGGAGTTTTAAGTACATGTGTAACTGTAAGTTTTTTTGTGAAAACTACAGGCTTACTCACATGTACATGTACTTAAGCTTTAAAACTTATTTTGACTCTAAGCCTGAAAGATTAAGAAACACGTGTTCATGTACATGTACATGTAATAGTTGATGAGAGATTCACAGAGTAGGTGTGATGTATTATGTCTTTGTCCTACACTCTCTATTGTCCATATTTCCTTCTCTTTACTCTTCTTCTCTCTCTCTCTTTTTGTGTCTTCATCTCAAGGCCATGATTCAGATGTTGTTAGTCAAATGATGGCAGAAGCAATGGAACAGCAAGAGACTGGAAAGGATAGAAGCAGGTACATTATTATAATTTTAAAACACACACAATGTACTTGTACTTGTACATGTAATTATGTTGTGTAAAAAATTTGAGCTAGTTCCAATCAAAATGAGATTATTTATGGATTTTAAAAAGTTAACTGCTCCAAAATCAGGCCAAAGTCCCTCTACTAAAAATAGCTAAAGAAAATTTTCAATTTTTCTGATATTTTGAAGCCAATTA